TAGGACTTTAGCAGCCTTGTTGAACTTGAGGGATGAAGATAAAGAAATGTTGTACCACCTTAAATCAATCTCCTTCAGTCTTTGCAGTTATGAACTTGGTAGTTAGTTACCAGTCTGCTCATGCCAACAGTCCAGGAAACTAAGGTGCAGACATAGTGACCAACTAGTTGTCATTGGGTTGAATCCAAGTCATGGCAACCCCATGTGATTCAGAGTAGAGCTCTTCCATAGCTGATTAAAATATATATATATATATGTATACAGATTGCAAGGGATTCCTTCTGAGGGTGGATTCGAACTACCAAACTTCCTTCTAGTAAGGGAGCACATTATAACTTCTTACACCACCCAGGGACTTCACAAAGCACCTAAGTGGATCAAAATGACAACTCGGAGAAATTTGGATCAAACTCAATCTGTTTGGTCTTAGCTGCCATGTGTCAGTGTCCAAAGGAGACAGTTAGGATCGGCTTTATCTGTGTGTGTACTGGCTCACCCCTTGTGATGTGAGTGAGGGACCGTGATTTGAATCAGCATATCTGGTCTGGGGCTCCCGCAGGCCCACCTGCCCTGACATAGCCTCCTGCAAGCCTGAGCCACCACTCAGCCCAGAGACGGCTGCAGCAGGGTCAGATGAGGGTGGATACAAAGATTCTCAATTCTGACTCCTGGCAGGTAGACAAAACTGGATTCTATGATGACCTAAGGAGATCCAAGCCTTCCAAATTGGTCCCTAGAGCAAACCAGTTTCCAATTAGTTGAGGATTATGGCTAAATTCTTGAGGTTTTTTAAGCCTCTATTACAATCTCAAGGTTAATCTCAGGCTGTTGTAAGAGAGAGTTGGCTCAGCTTTCAGGAAAGAGCATCCACCCCTCCCTGGGGTCACCTCATCTTGTCCTTTGTTCAGACCCCAGGCCCACTAGGGACAGAGTGGTGGTTTTAGACTCCTCCAGGGTCTCTCCACGTGTGTTGCTCTATGTGGCCTTCTGTGGCCTCACCCAGTGTGGAGAGATCTTTCCTATCATAAACATGTTTCCTGTACTTGCACCTGGGACAAGAACAGGATCACAGGGCCCTCCTTAGTAACTGAGACAATCCACTGAAGTCTCCTCCACACCTGGGATTATACCATGAGGTGCTGCTGTACCAGCACCCTCTCCTGTCTGCACCCTGTGCTGGCCGGAGGGGCCATGGGTCACCAATCTGAGATGATCTCTGCTACGTGCATGGTTGGGTTTCTGGGGCCTTGACTGGCCTGAGATTGGTTGCAAGGCCCTCAGGCCGCGGTGATGTGTTATGGCCACTTTGTCACGCCTGGACATTCTCCATCTCCCTCAGGCATTCTGTTACACGGAGCCCATTGGAGACATGCTCAGAGCTTTCATGCGACCCACGTAGGCACAGCTGTCGCCGGAGGGGTGCGTCCATCACTGCTGATACGCGTCTTCCAGGGTCTTCCATCTGTGTCACTTCACCGTTAGGAGTTCAACACGGGGAGCCAGACTCCCAAGCTCTTTTAACTACAGCTTTCTCTACTTTAGGACCTTGCAAAAATTCCTATAGGTGGGGTGAAGTCAGAGAACAAACCACAGGTACACACCCTGCTGTATTCAAACTGTACCCCTGTTCTCCGCTGGCCTTTTAAGTCAGCTTGTGTGTCTACATGCTCTCCTTTGTCGGGCTAAATGTTTACCCCTGAGGATTCCAGTGCCATCTGCCTATGGAGATATTATTTTTCATTCTTTTAAACACACACACACACACACACACACACACACAGAGGAAGTGAGCAGTCCTGCTTGTCAATCACAGCATTGACATCCTTACACTTGGTGTTTCGGATTGTGTGCATCCAAGACCTATTGTTTTCATTATGCTCCTTCGCACCGACTGGAAAGCAGATGTTCACAGACAAAGAGGAGGAATGAGCCAATAAACAGTAGAGTGACTGTATTTGTTTTATCCAGTCACACCACAATTGCTGGCTACAGCCCTAGTCATGGGGGCGGGGGGGCAGTGCTGGGTGCCAGGAGAAAGATGAGATGGATTAGGCTTGGTCTCTGATGTCAGAGTTTGTGCTGGCTCATTGGTGTTGGGTCAGGTGGACACAAGGTCACCAAGAGTCAGAGCTGACTCAGTGGGAAACAAAGGGCAGACAGCGTGCTGTTTGGACATTATCTCCCCCCCCCCTTTTTTTTAATATAAAAAGAAGTGAGCACAAGGCCAAGTTGGAGCGAATTCATACGACCCTCACAAGTTGTGCACACGCAGGAGCCGCGTGCAGCTCAAGCACAGACGCGGCATTTTGCTGCTAGAGTCTGAAACCAGAGGCTGGTGTTTCGTCTGATTGCACCCACACAAAAACTTCGAGGGCTCTGTCTTTATGCATTTTACTCTCCAAGCTGTGAGAGTTGACCTCTGTGATCAATGTCAAGTTCCAGTGAACTTCCATGAGACAATAAAAATCCTTTCGGGAGGGAATGATATTCCTGATGGCCACCACATTGAACAGTTGTCTACCTGGCTGTTTTATTTTCCTTATCCCAATGTCACATCCTTTTCATCCAAGGAGAAGCCCCATGGGAAAGTGTAACTTTAGAGAAAACTCAAACCAATCTCACTGCTGTCCAGTCAGTTGTGACTCCTGGTGACCCTATAGGATGGAGCAGCACTGCCTCTGTGAGTTTCTGAGATGAATTCTTTCTAGGAGTAGAAAGCCTCCTCTTTCTCCTGAAGAGTGGCTGGTGGTGCCGAACCGCTGGCCTTATGATCCACAGTGAGACTCATAACCACTACACCACCAGAGCTCCTTGACTGCAGACAGATTGTGTCGAATCCATATCCTGTCACTTGACCAGGTCACTGAGCGTCTTTGAGTCTTAGGAATCTCATCCAAAGAGCAAAAAGCATCATGATGGCCAGAAGGTTTAAGTGAGAGTAGTATTAAAGCACCTTTCAACAATCAAATGCATTCCCATCCAATTGATTCTGACTCCCAGCGACCCTACATGACAGGGTGGACTGCACCTAGGGGTTTCCAAACTTTAAAATCTTTACAGGAGTAGAAGACCTTGTTTTTCTCCCATGGAGTGAATGGTGGTTTCAAACTGCTGGCATTGCTGTTAAGAGTCCTGCACCTAACCACTATACCACTTGGATTCGTCTATGAAGACATTATATAAATGGTAATGCTCTATGTATAAAGTAAATAATAATATCGGTCGTGTTAGAAAATGCCTGGAATTCCGTAAGCTATGGCTTTGAGTCTACATTACTAAAGCGGACCATCCCATTTGGGTAGCAAGAAGAGTCAGAAAGCAAGAGATTGATTTTAGACCAACAAAAGTACAGGTTTTACGTGCCTCTTTTATACAGAGTAATTTCTCATCTCACTGCCATTGAGTCGATGCCAACTCATAGAACCCTATAGGGCAAGGTAGAACTGCCTCTGTGAGTTTCCGAGACTGTAACTCTTTACGGGAGTAGAAAGCTCCATCTTTTTTTCACAGAGCTGCTGGTAGTTTCGAACTGCTGACCTTGTGGATCACAGTCCAATGTGTAACCATAAACTAAACACCAGGCTCTTGAAAAATAACCTCTTTTCCCAGTCATCACTTCTGCACATGTGCCGGTGTACACTTACGGTCTCTAATCATCAGAATTGTGACTGCATCCTTTTCTCCTCCAAGTCCTGCTCAGGAAAGCATATTGGTAGCAAGTAGTTCTGCCTTAGGGTTTGGGACATTCTGCCATGTTCTTTAAGGAGTTCTGGTGGCACAGTGGGTTACACAATGGCGCAATTCTATATGTCGACCCAAGGGACTCTTTACAGGGCCAGGACAAGCCCCACCTTTACTACATCATCCCAAGAGTATCAGAGTGTTGCCCTGCGTGGGTAGCAGTAGGGAGTGGCTCATACCACAACATGACACATGGACACTGGGTGCATTCAGCCTGAGAAAGAGTTTGCATGTAATTGAGTTTCATTTGATACTTGAATTTCTCCTAAAGTGGCCTTTGAACATCCACTCCAATCCTCCAGTGCCACTCGGCATACACCACCTGAGGCCATCTTCTTCCTCATTCATCGGTGGTCCTCATGCTCTCAGGACACCCTTCCCACCATGATCTGAACCCGCTGGTCCTGATTTGGTCTTCCTGTACAAACTGGCCCAAGCAGATCAGGTTATCTTTCCCTTGATGACCTTCAGATATCTGACTACAGCTTTCATTATACCCCCACTCTACCTTTCCCGACGAAGCACCCCGTTCTTTCACTTCAAGACTCGGTGATGTAGTTCATGTCAAGTACAGCCTTCAAAATGAGCCCCCTTTGGCAGAGACTTAACTGCTGCTTGGCTGGTGGGGAACCAGACTCCTCCAGCCCTGGTGCTGCCAATTGTTTCTAGATCGTTGAGAAATGGAACCCCTTAGGACCACAGGAGGAGCTCTTGCCTATTAAACCACTGAGATGGGGAGCTTTTTGGTTATCGCAGGATCCACCTGGCCTCTCCTGGCGAACACAGAGGGGAAGGTCAGAAGCAGAAGGAACAGTCGTAAGCTCAAAACATTCCACAAACACAAGGAAACCAGCAAGTGAAGACTGGTGTGGTGGTTCCCACACATTCATTCCCACACAGTAAAGATGCAAAAATTATCCTTAACATATTATGACGCTATGTGTACATATAATTCTATTTCCTCTCAACCCCTAAAGAGAAAAAGAAAGCATCCTAAAAAGAAAAAAAATGCATGCTGTCCTTCATGATTGATCCTACCAATCCCTTAGCCCAGTACCATCCTTGACCCATTATCAATTCAATAAACAGCTCAATGCAGTCAATAGCCAAGAGGGGAGACCTGCTCTGGGGTAGTGTTCTGCTCTGTAGAAAGCATTTTATCAAACAGACGTTAACTTGTCATCGTGATTTGATAGGTATACCCAAAATTCCAGTTGATAGCATAAGTGCCTTGTTGCTTTAAGAAAGAACATCACGGAGACTGGTGACTTGTGTTATTATTTCTCTGCTACATGGGCTTCAGAGATCACATCGCCTTCAAAGTTGTTCTTCATTGCTCTCAAACACTGGATTGCTATAAGACACTCCCCTGCCACACTCTGGCATGTCACAGTAAGAGGTTTGGTTTAATGGAGGCCAGCTTGGGTCCTTTGCCAAGGCCCTCTGCCATATCTGATACGGGCTTTTTGATTGATAGCCAAAACACCTTTTGATGACCATCCACAGGGCTCGGTTTTCAATAATAGCCTCCTGCAAAATAAAGAGAGTTAAGTTTTACAACTATAGGTCAAGCATTCCCAGACCGTCCATAGACCATGATGGCGCCCTACTGAATCAACTATCTAGATCTACTTTGACAAAGAACGATAAATCCAAAGTGGTTAAACTGATCCTTTTAGAAGATTCGGGAATATGGAGACTGAGCGTAAAGAGGTTTACCTGGATCTACATATAACCCCCTCCCTGGGGGACAGTCGACAGAAAGCTGGGTCAAGGGAGATGCCTGTCAGTGCAAGACATGAAAAAATAATAATAATGTGTAAAATATCAAGGGAAGAAGGGGAAAAATGAAGAGCTGATACCTAGGGCTCATGTAGAAAGAAAATATTTTGAAAATGATGATGACAATATATGTACAGATGACATTGTGTTTGACACAATGTACGTATGTATGTATCATGATAAGAGCTGCATAAGTCCCAATAAAATGATTTTTAATGAAAAGAAAGAAAAAATCTCAGGCAAGTATTTCAGTTGAAGGGGATAATTGGCCATTGTTTGAAGGGAGAAACAATTCAAAGTAATAGAGACAATGGAAAGTCTTTAACCATGCATTGTGTAACCTTGCTCTTTAAATTTGGCATTGTAATGTGCACAGCAACATCAAGTATACAGTAAAAGTCTTTGAATTGAAAATTTTTAAAAGAAGAGGCTTACCTGAAAGATGAAATTTGAGTCTTATATTGAAATCACCTTTAAAACTATTCAAATTTTGCACTCCACTAAATACCCCATCCATATTTGATTTAATCTAAACTGACAATTAAAATGAGGTACCACCAAATAGAATTGGCCCTTTAATAAGTTACGTTATATGCATATGGTGACTTTGGTGCACTACAGCATATCACTGTACAGTCGTGAACAGTCTGTGAAATTGCCTCATAGGCCACAGTCTTGGAGGTGGGCAAATCTGGATTCAAGTCTCAACTCTCACTTCAACTATGCGCCTCTGTAGGCCTTAGTGATTAGAAGAAATAATTCCTTCCTCTTATGTTTGTTGTATGGACTAGATTACTCCCCGTACCATGCAGAGCATGGTGTAGTATACCCTGCTTTCTTTCCCCACCCTTCGCAAACTATTCATTTCCCAAAGGGCCGTGGCCTGATGAAAAGGAATTGCCAATGACTCTAACCTTAGCTTGCAAATATTTCAGTGAGATGGGCACGCTGAGATTGAAAAAGGTGTGTATCTCTGAGGACAATCTTCATGGCCATTTTATTTTATGAGTTACACTAGCTCTAAAATAGGACCCAAGATACAACTTACAATGTAGCGAGTTACCTGTTCACTTTTTCATTTTTGGTCACAAAGGTTGGCTATCTTACAAGAGGGTTTGAAAGAAACAAGGACACCATTTGAGCAGTCAAGCTACCCTACCGAGCGATGGCTGGCTGCAGTGCCCAGGAGTGGTATATTTCTAATTTTATCTGAGTGCACAAAAGACTTTGTCTCAGAAATAGTAGCTTTTCCTAAAATCCAACCATCTTTGAGAGTTAAGCCCCAGTGTTCACGAAAATGATTAAATAATAATAATAATAATAATAATAAACAGCTTGTCTAAATCTTTCCCCTAATAACTGCTCCTATGCTGACAGGCTATTAACGTTGAACACTATTTCACGCCCCTCTTGCAAACCTTAGGGCTTTCCTGCCAGACCTGTTATACTACTCTCCCAAAGCAAGGTGTTTTGACCTGCTTAATTAACCAGAGAACCGTTCTCCTTAAAGTTAGAGTAAGGCATGGAACCCGAGTGCTGGTGCTCAATAGATTTTAATATATAGCTTCCATTAAGCCTTCAAACTCAAACTCACAGTCATCAAGACAATGTTGACTCACAGAGACCCCTGTGGGTTCCCCACATTGTAACTGTTTATGAGAGTGGAAAGCCCAATCTTTCTCCTGAGGAGCTGCTGGTGGTTTTAAACTGCTGACCACAGCCCAGTGCAGAACCACATCTCCAGGGCTTCATCCAATAAGCCTGAGAAGACCTTAAAACAAAACAAGGTGAAACTCACACATACATGTGTACACACATGCACACATAGGCACACCAGGACCAAAAGTAGCCAAAAACAAACACACTGCCATCAGGTCGCTCCCAACAAATAGCACCCCTCCGTGGAGTTTCCAAGACTGTAAATCAGAGGGGAAGAGACAGCCTTGCCATTCTCTCACAGAACAACTGAAGTGTTAGCGGCTCAACACTAAACTGATGGCATCACCAGGGCCCCTTCAGCACCACACCAAACTCCAAAAGGCAACCTCACTGTTTCTGAGTTGATTCCACCTCATAGCGAGCCTACAGGACAGAGTAGGACTGCCCCTTTGCGTTTCTGTGACTTTAAATCCTCACAGGTACAGACGCCTCATCGCTTTCTCTCAGAGAGACTGCTGGGCTGAACTGTTGCCCTCAGGGCTACCAGCTCAATGCATGGCCCTTTGCCACCAGGCTCGTTACACCATGTGCTCCTGGCTCCAATGGTGCCTTCCCACCAATCTGCCATCCATGTTTTCATCTGTCCCCAGTGTGCTGATGGTGCCATGCGGCCCTGTGAAATTGTTCACACCAGATTGGCAAGTAAAGTCAGGCACAGCCTGCCAAGGCGAGCAAGTGCGTCCCAGGCTTCCGGTGCATCTCCCTCGGGAACACACACACACACACACACACACACACACACACGAAAAGAGGTGCTGTGCACTGTGCCTTGGGCGCTTTGACATTGCTCCAAGTGGACAACCTTGTTGTTCTGGAAAGGGACGCTAAAGTGCTGGGAGATGACAGGCCCCGTCTCTCTGTACACTGTAAATGACACGGAGAACTGGAAACGTAAGTACAGGCTTGGTGAGATTCCATTTTCAAGACAGAACAAAACTTGACAACACTACAGTTTCAAAGTTTTATGCATATGTACTTACGTACACACAGAAGTCAACAAAAGGAACTAAAACTACCCAGGTTAGCACTCAGACCTCTCAGCGGAAGGCTCCCTCCCAGTGCCGTCAAGTGAATTCTGACTCATTGCAGCACTTTACAGAAGCACCAAGCCTCCCCTTCCTCTCCACAGAGCAGCTAGTAGGTTTGAACTGCTAACCCAGATTGTGCTAGTGGGCTCACTCACTGGCACCACGTCAATGCCGACTCATAGCTTGCAAGTATTTCATTGAGATGGGCATGCTGAGATTGAAAAAGGTATGTATCTCTGAGAAATATCTTCATGGCCATTTTATGGGTTTCTGGGACACTGTGACTGTTTACGGGAGTAGAAAGCCCAATCTTTCTCCTGAGGAGCTGCTCATGGTTTTGAACTGCCAACCATGTGGATCACAGCCCAACACGTAACCACTATACCACCAGGGTTCTTAGACTCATGTCAGGAGACAAGAAATGTATATACCCATGGCAACTACCTTCACTAAGGACAGTCCTGGTTTACCTTTGAGAGTCAGCGAAGGACTCCTAGATTCTGGAAACTGTCCTCTCTGTCTGCAGGGCACAGGGGCGAGAGCCAGAACTCTAGAATGTGGGTTCTCAGTTCCTCATACTAAACCTACAGGAATGCTGCTCTGTTACTCGAGAAACAGAGGAGCCGCTGTAGCGTTCATGGGCGGCACATTAAACCCTCTCCATCTGCTGGGGCCGCACAGGGCTGTTCTTCAATTCAATAAGTGAACAAGCCTTTCCACAGTTCTGATGGGAATAAAGCAGGGTTTGAGGCACTAAAGCTACTGAGACCTGTTCTTCCCAGCATAACTAATGGCAGGAGAGAGGAGAAATGTAAGCTACCTAACCTATCCTCTGTCTCCAGGTATACTGGGAGCTTCATGCCTCTGCTTTCTTATCTCTCTAGCATAATACACGGCGCTTAACAAATGCTCTGAAAAGAAAAAGGAGAGAAGGAAGAAACAGCAAGCGACACAAGCGAGGGGATATTCATAACAGTCCCAAACCCAGCCCACTGCCAGGAGTCGATGTCCCCTCAGAGCGACCGTGAGGACGGAGCAGAGCCGCCCGCCGGGTTTCGCAGGCTGTAATCTTTACAGAAGCAGACCGGCTGACAGTCTTTCTCCTGAGGCACAGCTGGCGGGTTTGACCCACAAACTCTTCAGTTCGCAGCCAAGTGCTCAAACCACTGTGCTAGCAGGTCTCCCATGATAATAATAGCTAATATTTATAAAATTCTTGCTCTATGCTTTGCACTGTTCACATACTATGCTCACAAGAACTCTTGGAGTTAGGATACCATTATTCTTACCCCTTTACAAATGGGGAAACAGACCCAGAGAAGTGGAGTGGCCTGCCCCAAATCAGGCAGCAAGAACGTACTGGTGCCAGGATTCAAACCCAGGTAGATGCCTGCAGAGGATGGCTCTTAGCTACAAATATGTTTACAAAGGAAGGGGTTCCTGACTGTGAACGACTCTGTGGTTGGATTACCCCACTACCCACTCCATCCCAACTCTTCCCTGTCCCTTAAAGAACAAAATTCAAAAATAAGCCAAGCCAAGCTATCTAAACTCTTGCCAAAGATTCACTTTCCCAGAATCCCTTTCTACTTAGGTGGCCCTGACCAAAAACAAACAATCCCCACTGCCATGGAGCCAATCCCATCTCACGGAGACCCTATAGGGCAGGTAGAACTGCCCCTGTGAATATTTGAGAGTGAAACTCTTTACGGGAATGCAAAGTCCTGTCTGAGTGGCAAGGAGTAGTTGGTGGTTTCAAACTGCTGACCTTGTGGTTAGCAGCCCAGTGCATAACCACTATGCCACCAGGGCTCCTGGTGGCCCTGAAGTGCAGTCTTAGCCAATGAAGTAGAAGGGGAGTCTGCTGAGGGGCTGCCAGAGACTTTGCTTCCTGATAACAAGCTTGGACTCGAGGGGCTTTTCTTTTCGTCTTGCACAGAAAACAGTTATCGCGTCCTCACGTCCGCTAAGAGGACGCTCCCTCAGAGCAACGATCAGACACATGAAAGGCCGACATCTAAGACTGGATGTCGTGAAAGGAACGTGAAAGAACGGCGCTGAGTCCGTAAACCGCTCCGGGAAGCATCGTGCTCTCCTAACCCTCGGTCCTGCTCGACCACGGGCTCTTATGCAATGCGGAGCCTGCTACATAAGGGCATTTCCCTCAGCGACGACGTGACACCGCGTGGGGACGTCGGGTGCTGGGGGTGCTCCCCGCCCACCATGAGTATCCCCTTTTGCTGGTGCCGTTCTTGGTTTGGAACTGGGAGAGGTAATGTCGATGGCATCCTGCCCCTCAGATCTTCATAAATCCCTTTCCGGGGATGGCTGCCCAGCAATGGGCGTTAGTGAAGGCGGGCGGGCTGTGTCCAGCCTTGCTGACAAGAGTGAACCAGCGAACAAAGAAGGGGAGAGCACGCGCTCTTCCCTGGGGAAACGGAGCAAACGGGGGCGAAGACTAACTGTGGGAAGAGCGTACTCCGAGCTCCCATCTCATCCATAAAGCAAAAATGTGAAAGTTGCTAAGTGAACGAAAAGCAGCTAGTCACACAAAAGACTCGGTATTGTATGATTCCATTTATAGGAAAAGTCCAGAATAGGCGCATCTCAGTGACAGAAAAGAGATCAGTGGTTGCCAGGAGATGCGGGGAAAGGAATGAGAAGGGGGTTTCTTTTCAGGGTGACGGTCACAGCTGGAATTAGATCGCAGTGACGGCCGCACAATGCAGGGAACTTACTAAAACCACCACCGAACTGTACCTTGTAAATGGGTGCATTGTGTGGCGTGTGAATTGTACCTCAATTTTAAAAAATATTATGTCTTGGGTTGAGTCTCAATTGGGAAATGTTATCAATGAATACTAGTACTAGTGCTCATTGCTACTGAGTCAATACTGACTCACAGCACCCCCCCTGCACCCCCCTCCCCACCCCCCACCCCCATCCCCCGCCCCATAGCTTTCCAAGTCTGTAACTGTTGATGAGAGCAGAAATCCCAGCCTTTCTCTCGAGTACTTGCTGGTAGCAGCCCAACGCATAGCCACTAAGCCACCAGGGCTCCTTTACAAATGAAGAGAAGAGGACACAATTGATTCGGAGCGACCTGCCACCTGAGGCACTTACCTCCACCACAAGGGACACAATGAAGTTGGAGCCAAGCATAATGACAATGTAGATCCTCCAGAGGACAGGGGTGCAGAGCAGCTAAAGAGAGAGAAGGAAGTAGTATATGAAAGATATTCACATGTTCCCAATATACATTTTCATAAGTTATAAGACATGGATATAATATACAGAAACCTGTACTATTTCTATGTTTGCATGCACAGAAAAGGTACAGGAGAATTATACTTAATTTGAGGGGATTGCTTCTGGCTTTTAAGAACTTACTTCTTTTTTTCCTGATTTTGATTTTTTGTTTTTTATTTTTAAGAAGTACAGGATTTCATTTTATTGGGCTCCACAATCAACACACATGGAAGTCAAGAAATCAAAAGAAGTATTGTCCTGGGCAAATCTGCTGCAAAAGACTTCCTCAAAGTATTCAAAGCAATTATTTCACTTTGAAGCCTAAGATGTGACTAACCCAAGCTATGTTGTTGTTGGTGTTGCTGTTGTTATTGTTGGTGTTGGTGGTGTTGGGGGTGGGGGGGTGGCGGTGTTGGTGTTGGTGTTGTTATTGTTGTTGGTGTTGGTGGTGGGGGTGTTGTTGTTGTTGTTGTTGGTGGTGGTGGTGGTGGTAAGTGCCATTGTGCCAATTCCGCTCTATAGTGACCCTGTGCACAACAGAACAAAACACTGCAAGGTCCTGTGTGGTCTGCACAACTGTGCCTGCGCCCATGCCCATTGTTGCAGTCATGATGTAATCCATCTTGTCGAGGGCTTCCCTCTTTTTCACTGCCCAAGCATGAGGTCCTTCTCCAGGGACTGGTCTCTCCTGATAATATGTTCAAGATGAAGTCTTGCCTTCGTTGCCTCTAAGGAGCTCTCTGGCTGTACTTCTTCCATGATGGCTCGGTTTGTCCTTTGAGCAGTCCATGAGGCTTTCAGTGTTCTTCTCCAGCTCCACAATTCAAATGCAGACTCTTCATCGGTCTTCCTTAATTAATGTCCAACTTTCCCATGCAGATGAGGCCATGGAAAATACCATGGCTTTAGTCAATTGCATCCTAATCCTCAAAGTAACATCCTTGCTTTTCAGTACTCTTTGCTCAGCATACAGATTGAACAGGTATGGTAAAAGGATACCAAGCCAGGGTATTTTTTAATTCCTTGGTATGTATATCAATGGATGTACATAGCAACCCAATGGAAACAAGTTACAGAAATGGTTTCTGCAGGTGTAACCCAGCAGACCAGTGGCGAACCAGAGAGTCAGAAAAAAAGAGGAAGACCCTCAACCAAAAAGATTGACACCATGGTTGCAACAGTGGGCTTCAGCAATGCAATGGCTGTGAGGGGGGTGCCTGTGCAGGCAGTATTTTGTTCCATCGTACAAGGGCTCATTATGATGTGGAACCAATTTAATGACACAACAGCATAGGAAGATAGTTTTATTCCCAGGATGCTCTGAGGGTCCACATGCCAAAGTGGGTAGTGTTACCCTTTTTCTCTATGGCAACCTCTCTCAGCAGCCAAACTCTGAGCCCCAGGTCAGGGCTTCAAAGTCCTCAGGACACACGTACAGCTGCACGGGTGGTATTTTCCAAAGGAGAAAGTAGGGTGAAAGCACGCTTGTCACAATCTATCTCTTCTGCACTGCCTCTGCACGCTTCCTTCTTCAACCTAGCACACTGCCTGCTACTTTTAAATGTTTAATACATGGATGGGTGGAGGAATGGCTGGCTGGATGAATGAATAAAACAAATCCAAGGACATTCTATCACACTTGGTGTTGCCTCACACAATGATGGGCGTGCAGCCAGTACAAGTCTATGGAGGGCAGGAAACATCAAAATTAAAGATGCAAGTAGATATCTGGGAATTTATCACAGAGAGATGGCTGTAATGGATGAAATAATATTTACAAGGTTATGTATTATCATTTTATTTACAATAGCATAAAAGTAGATACATCCCAAATGTCTATGAGCGGAGGACCCAAACCCCAGGCCCACTGAGCCAATTCTGACTGTCCTACAGGACAGAGTAGAATTGCTTCCCAGGGCTTTTGAGGTTGTAAATCTTTAGGGGAGCAGACGGCCTCATCTTTCTCCCTATATATTTTTTAGATGCAATTTTCAAAAAGTAGGTAGAAACTAGATTGCAAAACAGCATGATGTCATTTAAAATAAAATAAACTTCATCAATCAATCAAAGTTCATTGATAATGTATGAATTTTAAGAGTGGGAAGGATATAGTGAATAATGTTAATAATTTTCTTCTTCTGCAGATTCTTCATTTTCTAATACATATTCTCATGTCATAATGAGAAAAATAATGATTCTTGCAGAACCTTCTACAGGCATCCTATCTTTGTCAGACGGGTTTGTATGTCAAAATCACCCTAGGTCCTACCCTGGTATTGCTAGGTTTGAATGCACTGAGCACTCTCTGTATTCCTCCATGTCAGGAATGATGTCAGGGAGTCTTTTGCCATTATGTGCATTCACCTGGCCAGACACTGGTGACCCAAGAATGAGCTCCGATCTGGACCCTCGTGAAACTCATCATGAAGGTGGAGAAGCAAAGGAGAGTACAAAGCAACCGAGTGCAGAATGAAACTAGAAATGTTCCTTTCAGCTCTTCTGTCTTCTGTTTATTTGGAAAAAGGCTATTGAACCAGTCGTCATCAAGTCCATTCTAGCTCGTGGCCCTCCATGTGTGTCAGAGTAGAACTGCTCCTCAGCATCATGACTGCTGAGATCTCCTGCATCATCTCTTCTGAAGCACTTCTGGGCGACTTTGAACCACAGCCTTTTGGTTAGCAGCTAAGCACATGAACTACTGATACCCCCCCGGGCAGTCTCGGGAACATTTCACAGTGGTTCAAAAGTAGGATAGGGTACAGGATCACATCTCGCACATGGCACGCGTCTCTGTCTTGTAGGATTTCTCTTCACTTGCTTGCACACAAAACTCTTCTCTGTCTTGAAGGATATCAAAGCTGTCTCGGTGTTATAAAATACAAACAAGGTCACCCTTAAAATGTGGCTCTTTGGAAGTCTGAGTTGCAGCCAGGAAGTCGAAGCACGCAAGAAACACATTTTTAAGGACAAACAAGAGTGATAAATACATATTGGAGGATTAGCAGTCAAAATGTTCTGGGTAAAACTGTTTTAAATAGCTTCAAAACAAGCATTGTGGCAGTAAATCTCTCATGTGAAAGAGAAACTATAAAAATAGATAGTCTAATCTTACAGCGATCTTTTAAACGAAAATGTGCAGTACTTTTGAGTCTCCAGTCTCAGGAAATTGAAACTAGGCTGAATTTTATTTTCTGGCCAGCTGACACACAAGTGTAAGTAAATCCAGCATGCTTTGTACACTCAGCCATCTCCAAAGACTAACCGGTGTCAAGAATTCATGTCAATTGCAATTGTGACCTGTATTCTGAAGTCAGACCATTAGATAACCATAGAACTCCATCATCTCCCGTAGATAATACTCACATCCAAACGCCTGTATAGTTCTGGAATGTCAGCAAACAGGATGAATAGGCACACCCCCAGCTGGATGACCAGGACGAGGACAAACACATCTGAGGGAATCAGAACACAAGGACCATCACCAAAAATCAGAGCTTATCGCATCTACAGATAAGCATTTCGAAATGAACGCTGATTGACTTCACTGGATTTCCACACCCAGATCAGCATAATACATGGAAAGCGCTCATCTCCATGCAATGGAATGCACCTCCACAATTTCTGTGAATGAGGAAAGTAGGAATCATCACATGCATCTTATATATAAATTTCAATTAGTAAAACAGAAAAATATTTCTTGGACAACACTGACGAAATATTGAAAGCATGCAAGTCTCTAAGTCCCTTTAATGTAAGCCAACAACCTCAAACCCTTGTCTAGTGGGGGACGTGGATGAGGAGTGCTTCAAATAAATACTTTTTTTAAATGGCAACTCAGCATTTGGCTGCTTTCCCCATCCCCTCAAGGAGAAGGGCAACAAAATGTTCTCTGAAAAACAACAAAGGCCATCGATATTTCAACTGGTGCTTCCGAATTTTCCCATTCGAAGGGTCAGTGATAGTGTGCAAATATGCAGAAATGTCCCTCTCCGCCAAATATGGATCCCCACCCCAGAATGCTAGGGGGTGGGAAGGAAGTCCTTGGGCTCAGAATCTCCACCATTCTGAAGGCTCCTTCAGGCTGAACCCACTGTCAGCTTGCCAACCATGAAATGCCCCTTGACCATTATGTCAGGAGACAAGTTCCAACTGAGTGCTGTGGCCCTTATCACAGCCTCCTCTATGATTTGAAAAGTACTGACAGGTCCAGAAATCAATGGGTCTTCCCAATTTGGAGTGTTCACATGAAAAGTCACCCAGAGAATGGTGGTGAAGGGACCAGGTAGGGAATGAAGCCCAGCAGTTCTCAGAAGCTTTGGGGGAAGCGGCACATGACCCTGAGAATGAGGCTGCATGAGTGAGGGTTTGGCCACCCTGGAGAAGAGCGGACTCAGGGGGACTCCTCGCCTCTGCTCCAGAACAATTCTACTCACAGTTTTTATAGGTGGGCTGCCGAAAGGGTTTTCCTTTGGAGAATATAAGCGCCACCATGACACAGTTGATTGTTCCCAAGAACCAGATAGTAGTGTTCTCAAAACTGGCGAAGGCACTGTTGCTGTCCTGCCTTTCTGGAGAATTTGGAGAAATGACTACCTCTGAGATGCTTTCATTCCCCACTGTGCAGGCACTGAAACAGAAACCAAAGGGAAGATGAAATAAGATGAGAGGCTCTCCTCGAACACCGGTGTCTGAAGTACATCTATGGACCATGTCCATCCACAACATGCGCTAAGTGATTGTATAATGGCTTAGAGATGATACCCACCCACCTGCTGCCACGGAATCAATTTGGACTCAGAACAACCCTTTGTATGGTTCCCAAGGCTATAAATCTTTATAGGAGCAGACAGCCTCAACTTTCTCCTTGGGAATGACTGGTAGGCTTGAATCAATGACCTTGGCATTAGCGATCTAAAGTCTACCTAACAGCACCACTAGAGAAGCTTAAATAATGGAGAGA